GATGGGAGCGGTGCTGCAAGAGATGCTGTCGGAGCTCTGCCAGGCATGGCCGAACAGGTGGGATGAGTATGTGGCAGTGGTCGCTTGGGCCCATCGTACGACGCCGGATGAGAGCCTTCCAAACAAAGAGTCAGCATACCACCTGCTCTTTGGACGGGCGCCAAGGACATCATTTGATCACATGTCGCCATCACTAGACAACTCGGGTTCAGCATTGCCGTTGGAAAGGACGGTGGAGGAAACGAGAAGGAAGACTGTGGAAGTAATGCAAGTGCTAAAAGTGAGACAGGAAAATCGGAATAGACACCGCGAACTCCAGAACGCGAGGATCAAACGTGCATTACCAGGCACCAAGGCTAAGGTGGGCGACAAGGTATTGGTCAAGGAGAGCGCCAGTACACTCTACCGGGATGGCGTCCACCCTAAACTTGCCCATGACCACTTCACAGGACCGTGGCGAGTCGTGCACGTCGTGCGAGAGGGGTTGAGCTTTACTGTAAGACTGCATGGACGTCAAATCCGCCAGAGGACGGTGGCAGCCACGGACTTCAAGCCGTTTCATTCTCGACCACAAGACATCAGACATCCATTTGAAGATGAGTTTGGTCATTTTGTATGGTCGCCGGATTTAGGATTAGCTGAAGACTCCGTCGTCGCGGCACCTCTGTATACTTTGGTGAATAGACCGGTGGTCCAGGGCGCTGGAGGAATAGCGTCCGCATGGGCATGGGAGTATAGAGGAAAGTATCAGGATGGCACCACGTCTCCGTGGATCACCGAAGACACTGCCAGGGAGAGTTTCTCGCCTCTGCAACTTGATGTTTTTCATGCCCTGTGGGAAGACTTTCACGGGGTGAATATCGCACCACGACCCCCGGGCCCGCCGTCGCGAGGAGAACCCGAAGTAGCAACGCGGACCGAAGCTCTCGCGGAATTTCCCTGTGGAACCATGGTTGGACGGGAGCTCATGGATCAAGAGAACAATACTGTGCTCAGCAGAGGGAAGGTCTGCGATTTCTATGATCCGTATGGGAGAGTGGAGTTCAGCGACGGAGATTGGGAAGAGCTCAATCGCAGGGAGCTAAGGCGTGGAATGGATCTTGCCACCAGACTCCCACCGCTGACCGCTCAAGAATCGTGAAGTCGTACACTGCCTGCCATCTTCCGTCCTCCATGCGGGAAGCTGGGGGGGGGGGTGACGGCAGTGTCACGAATGAGGAATTGCAAGATCGTCTTCTACAGCGGAAGATCGTCCTCAACAGTCGGTGATCGTCGGTCAAGATGCAAGATCGTCGTCATAGTCGTCGGTCTGTGGAGACTGTTGGTGGAAGAACATCTTCAACAGTGGAAGATCACCTGAGGAGTTCCGAGATCGTATTCTACAGCGGAAGATCGTCCTCAACAGTCGGTGATCGTCGGTCAAGATGCAAGATCATCTTCATAGTCGTCGGTCTGTGGAGACTGTTTGTGGAAGAACGTCTTCAACAGTGGAAGATCACCTTCTTCAGTGGACGATCGCCTTCTTCAGTCCAAGATCGTCATCGTCAAGGAGTCCGGTATACGGCGGCCAAAGTACTAACGGCCGTCATTCGGGGTCGATGATTTCAGCAATGTAACATCGACGTCGAACACACCGGCATCCGTCCTCTCGAGGTTAAAATCCATTTTTTGTGGTTTAACCTGGGGGAGGGCGGCATCCTCCCTTTTCAGATCTATATTCCCGGCGTGGTTTGATCTGAGGAGGGAGAAGCGCACGTTCTGCTATCTCCTTAGCATTTTGTGTTTTTCAACACATATATGCTGGGGGGGTGTCACGGTAGCATGAACGGGCGCTAAATACTGAGAATCATTCCATTTCACGATGGTTTGAGGAGGGCTAGGGTGTACCCCCGGGTGTACCTGAATCATTGGCGGAGCCCCTCTAGAGCTCCGCCTCAACACGTGTTTTGGGTGATCGCTCGCTGTTAACACGGCCAATCTCGGAAGAGGAACTTTGACCCACATCGCTAAGCAGCAACCAGTTGTGAGTCAATGCATGAGGTAGACCCCCCTTGCTAGTCCCTCCTTGATTAGTCCCCCCTTGTTAGTCCCCCCTTGACTTAAATGGTAAGATACCATGAAACTGACCATGAAATGGATGAAACTGACCATGAAATGGAGGAAACTGACCATGAAATGGAAGAAACTAATTGAACCCTAGCCAGTGCTTGTTACGCTAACACATGAGTGAGCTACCCTAATCGATAGCGTGATAACCTCTGTGACATTACGTCGAGATGGCGCCTCGGGCTTTGCTTGCTCAAGATTCGTTTCTTGACAAGTACTCTCGGTAGAATCATTTGCAAATATTTGTTTCTGGACAAATACTCTAGGCACAATCGTGTGCAAATAATTTTTGTTTCCGAGCAACTACCAGATAGGGTCGAAATCGGTTGTCACGGACTCGACCCGCTATGGTACCTCAAGGTACCTTCTTATTTCTGTAGAGGGGCTCCGGTTTAAGAGGGTCGAGGGTCTTTGTCACACCACCCTCTGATATCGGGGCCACGACTGAACCACAAACCTTTTCTCGTAAAGTTCCCAGGACGTCGTGGGTGGTGTCTTGTGCAGTAGCAGCATTGCCTCGCTGAGCTTGTCTTGTGAACGATTCACACCCTGTACAAATACAAATGAACAAGCGCAGTATGGTCATCTGGTTGGCACGCCACAAGCACAAATGACAGCACGACGGCCTAGCGCCATCACTAAACTCGCCATGTTTCGTGTGGCAGATGGGACAGATACAAGATATGGAAGAAGATGGTGGCAGCGGCCAAGGCGAGACAGTACAGGAGGAAGGCAGCCTCCGTGGGCAGGTTGTGTAATGTGCTTGGGGGGGAGGGAAGGCAGTGCTCTTCGTCCTCTCTTTCTTCCTCTTCTCGTTGTTCTTCTCTGAACAAGCGCCAACAGCAACTGCCCGTGTTTCTGCACGTCGCAAACGTGGGAGACTGCCGAGCGGTGCTCTGTAGGGGCAGCAGTGCGGTCGCGGTCACGCGGGACCACACGCCTTCCGCGCCGTCCGAAGCAGCGCGCGTGGAAGCTGCCGGAGGGGGGTGATTGATGTTCACCTTGCATGCCCTCCTCGCTCACAAAACGGCTGTCGTGTAAAACAAAGTTTAGGTTCGGCGTTGTTGGTATCGGTCGGTCTTTGTCTCTTGCTGCGCATGAAGGCCGTAAGCCCGTGATGTTGTTTTTCACGCCCCGTGATGTCCCCGGCAGTCATTCTGCTTGTAGATAAATGTACGCGGCCTCGCTCTACATCTACATTTTTACATGTTTGAGAATTTGTCTTGTAGTCGGCAGGTAAGTCTGTTTAGTGAAGAGCTTGCGCAACCTACCGGGTACAGTAAATAAAAGGGTAATTTTTGAGGTTGTTCTAGCCACTATTTGTGTTTCGTGCCCCCGCCCTCCAGCTATCTCTTGATCACTTTACAATGTTGCAACCAAATCAACGGTTATGCCGTACGGGGGCTGTAGAGGCCAACCTTCAACCTTGCGTGCTTCCGGAGTGGAGCGTGGGGCGATGAGCAATCTGGTGCCGTACTGTGCTTTCTGTCTTCGTGATCTGCGGGTGGGTGTGGCGATTTTTCGTAACCAGATTCGTTTGTTGGTAGCCGGTTTGTGCCTTCGTGGCAGAGGGGAGGAACAGGTGGCAGCCTTTCTCACGGCACGTTCCGTGTTTTCTGTCTTCCCCGCCTTCGCTAGTCTCGGATCTGTTTGTTTTAGCGTTGGCATGCCGAATCACTGCTGCTTTTTCCCTTCTTAGTTTCTCAGGGTGTTGGCGAATGGCTGCTATCTAGGTTTTACCGCAGGGGCTCTTAACAGAGCTTAGATTTTTTACTTTTTCGAGGATCAATTTCTCAAGTGCAGGCGCTAGCTGAAGGCGGCAAAGGGTTGCAAACTAGGCCGGGGGTCTGTGCATGTACACCTCACACACCGGCCTCCATAAACGATAAATGAACCAACCCCGGGATACTCCGCAAGGTACAGGAGAAAATACACGACATTTCGAAGCACGATGACCACATGACTACCAGTCAAGCGGTGTTCAGAACTTGTAGTCATCGTACTTTCCACTTTTTTTTCTGCTCCTTCTTTTCGACAAGCAGATGCTCGTTTTTTTCCTGGCTAAATCTACTCGAAAAATCTGCCCAAAAGTGTTTCATATGCCCATTTTTTCGCCAAATATTCTTATAAATTGGGTTTAATCTGCTCGAAATCTGCTCGAAATTTCAATCTGCTTTCCTGCTTTTTAACGCCGGAGCAGAATGGGGAAGGAAAGCTCTCAACGACACGGTTTCACCGCTGCCATTTTTGGCGCCGTAGCTGTTGTTGCTGCAGAGTAGTGGAGGCTTGAAGATAGGTCAAGGGGGTGTGGTGTCTTACGCAAGCGCGGTTAGTTCGGCAATGGCGTTGGTCGGCGAACAAGCGGGGGGTGTAGTGTACATTAGTCGAGATCATAACATTTCCTTGTTTCATCCCCCACTTGTGCGATTTGATATTCTGCAGCAGTGTGTTAGCACTACACACGCGCTGCGGGTGCGGGATCTCGTTTGTGCGGGGAAATACATGGTGTTGCAAATCCATGGTTGGTTCGTTATGATCCAGCTCGTTCGAAATTTGAAATCCATTGATCGTGGATCGTGAATTATGAGGCAGGCAAAGTAGCGCGAGCAAAGGCTTAATTAACTCAAAGATGTCTACCCTCACCTCCTCCTATAGATATATCGGCTAGATTGTAGATCCGAGAGAGCGATACTCCGAGCCTGGCAGGCCTAATTGCTGATTTAGCGCTGCCCACTTCGTAAAATAAATGCCAAATCAATCTGCTGGACTGTGAGAGGAGCTCACCACGCCCAGGGGCCCCGCCAATGGTATGAGGAGAATACCAGACTGAACCAATATCTTCCTCCAGGGTGACCCTGGGCGGACACCGCTCTGTCACAGCTGCTTCCTTGTGGGTCTCTCTGTCGTCGAGATGGCCGGAAGATCGCCCCCATTACTCCTCCCAACAGCAGTGTATCGCGCAGTGCTGTTCCTGTGGCTACTGGAGGGGCTTGTAAGCGGCTTTTTCGTTGGCACGCTACGTGTCTCGCTGCCTCGAGCTAAACATGTGGCACAGCATGGCAGCGCCGACTTCGGCCAACGCGGAGGAGCAGCAGCACCTGCGGTGTCAATGCCGGTGTTGGTCGGACAGAGGCGTTGCAATGCAGGGAGTGCTGCACTTGCTGCGGCTAGGGATGTGGCTCCCGAAGAAGAGGTTGGTAGCAGTGAGAGAAGCCATCTCACAGATTGTTGTGTGTGACTTTTGAAAAGTCAGCGAGTCCTCCGCCGCCGTGTGAGCTGTACTCTGTAGCTCCAGAACGTCGACACTCATTCTTGATATGAACACATACACTGATTAGTACCGAGCGCTGCTTGCATATGTAGAGCTCAGGAGACTCCCTTCTAACTCTCAACAACTGTTACACGCTGTCGAAGTAACTACACATGTGTCTAAGTCATTTTCCCTACAGACTCTAGACCGTAGGTGACATAAGATACCACACCCCCTGGACCGATTTGCTAAGCTCATTACTCCACGAAGAAGATTCAGAAATGAAACGACACGATGTCGGAAAGCTCTTGACGAGACGGCTTCAACACCGCCGTTTTCGGTGCTGCCAGTAATTCTGTTGTGGAGAAATCGAGCTTTAAAAACAGCTTCAGGGGGTGTGGTATCTTGTGTCACCTATGGCAGCTTATGTACATTTAAGATCACCCACTGCCGTACGACGCGGCGCACGTGGCTCGCAGCAGCAGCTCCCCTCTTCCCTCCTCCGACTGGGCACATGAGCATGCGGAAATTAGGCCACATCCGGTTCTATTCTCACACTGTGGGAGGCAACGATAGCGACAAGATTTTCGGCGATCATCCGGTGTCGAAAAAAAAAAACATGCTCTATCCGCCGTCAGGTCGAGGAAGAAATCGCTTTCAACACCGAGATGTTGACGGTAGAAGAGGGGGAGGGAGGCAAGCGCCTGGACTCGTTCCTTGGCGCCCGCATGCCAGAACAATCAAGGAGCTACTTCGGGGGGCTTTGCCAGCTGGGCATGGTGCTAGTGGGGGGGAAGACGGCAAAGAAGAGCGTGAAGGTGGAGGAAGGACAAGAGGTTGAGGTCCGGTTTATCATCAGCCCGGAGCTTTCTCTGCAGGGGGAAGACATCCCGCTAGACGTGAGAAACGGTAGCGTGAACTGTTACCCAGTAGAAATCACCAGGTGCCCAACCAAGACCATAGGCTAAAGCTTGTTTTCGAGAACGCTGAACAGTCGAGGTGTATCTCTGACTGATTACGCATTGCGGCGACACACACACATCTTGCTACGTACCGCCGTATCGCCTACCTGCGCCGGTTGCTGGCTCAAAACTCCCGCTAAGTAGGTGTGTTCATGGCCTGACAATCGGACGCACGTCGCTGGCGTCAACATTGCTGCCGTGCCTCGCCTTTCGGCCCAATAGATCCTATACGAGGATGACGAAATTATCGCCGTCAGCAAGCCGGCGGGAATGGTGGTCCACCCGGCCCCCGGTAGCTGGAACGGCACGTTCGTCAACGCGCTGGTCTTCCACCTCGAAAAATCGGGTGCGGACGGGAACGGACTGGGAGTGGCAGAGGCGGCGTTCCAGTCGGTGCCAGATGGAGAGCACAACCCAAGCCTTCGGCCGGGTATCGTTCACCGGTTGGACAAGGGGACGACCGGCGTTCTTCTCGCGGCGAAGAACCCCACGATGCAGGCGAAGTTGGCCGAACTGTTCGCTCAGCGACGGGTGAGTTTTGCTACTTTGTTGGATCAACTTTGTTTGCCGGTTGGTTTTGGTGTTGCTTTGTTGGAGGGTGATTATTCGTCGTTTTGATTCAATCGTTCCGGTCACCTACAACGTTCGCAGATGCCAAAACCACACACATCGCAGGGGCGTGCATGTGAAATCTGATGTCAAAACAGATGTCATCGGCAGGGGTTCGCCATAACATTAATTTCTCTGCGTGGTGTGGACTGGTGTGTACACTCTACCCACACTTGTTGTTCCGCGAAATTTCGAGTTTGGGCCCCGCAGATGACGGGATAGTACCTCGCCGATAATCGGAGGCACCGCCGTCAACGCGTGCGCGATTCTGTCGGCCGTTCCGACAGCTGCTCTCCGTGTTTCCCAGTAGAGCTTTCCACGCTTTGGCGAAAGCGGTGGTCTCCATGTCAATACCGGTGTAAAAGCAAAACCAACCTAGCGCCAACCTGGCGTTCAGTCTACAGCAGTGACCTATCAACTGTTTGTTGTGCCGGGTGAGGGGTAGGAGTAGAGTTAAAACAAGGCGGAGAAAATGTTTTTTTTTAGTGCATGTCGACCATGCTTTCGACGACGTGTTTAACTCGGGTTTTTAACCGTTAGCTTGCTTCAACCAAAGAAAATTCGCCCCAACGCAAAGTTTGTCACCGCGCTGTTCTTATTTTTGCTCACACGTCCAGATATCGAAATCCTACCTCGCGGTCTGCGTGGGCAACCCCGGCAAGGCCGCGACGATCGACGTACCCATCGGCCGGCACCCCAGAGACCGGCAGCGCATGGTGGCGGTGCCTACCATCCAGCCCAACATCCGGTCGCGCCGGGCGTTGTCGGTGGTGACGACGGTGGCGTTCGACGGGAAGCTGAGCGTCGCCGAGGTGTCGATCGAGACCGGGCGAACGCATCAGATCAGGGTGCACCTGCAGGTAAGTCTGGAGATCGGTGGCGGTGTCGTTGTTGGCGGCGGGTGTCTACGTGGGGAGTTGTTTGTGGTGGCGGTGGTGGTGGTTGTTGGTTATTGCGTTGTTGTTGGCGGCGATGCTGCTTGTGCAGGTGGTGGCGCTATCGCTGTTGCTGGCCGTACATACTGTTGTCTCCGGATCAAGGGTCCTAAGTCGCTTTTTGTTCGGGAAACTGCAAATAGTATGGTCATTTTCGGGCTGGATTGTGCGGTTCCAGAGGCATTTTACGGCAACAAGGTGTATTCATCGAACGTGTGAAACGTGCGCTTTCGGCAAGTGTTCATCCTGACTATCACGAACGATATGTTTCACATGTTTGCTGGCGGTGGCGCTATCGCTGTTGCTGGCCGTACATACTGTTGTCTCCGGATCAAGGGTCCTAAGTCGCTTTTTGTTCGGGAAACTGCAAATAGTATGGTCATTTGCGGGCTGGATTGTGCGGTTCCAGAGGCATTTTACGGCAACAAGGTGTATTCATCGAACGTGTGAAACGTGCGCTTGCGTCAAGTGTTCATCCTGACTATCACGAACGATATGTTTCACATGTTTGGTGCGTGGTTACATTTTCCTACTGCATCGATGCATGCTTGTCCTGGAGGAGCTGTACGGCGCACCATATACGGGAAACCGTAGGCTGCAGTAAAACCGACTAGCATCCGGCTTACAACAATACTCCTCACTCGTCGGTTCATCTCATGCACTGCCGGGGCGGGATGCACAGACACAGGTGACCTTTGTTTGAGCGTTTTCATAACCGTCCGTGCTTGGAAATATTTTTTTACAGCACCGACGCACGCCCGTCCTGGGGGATGAGGTCTATGGGAACAATGACTGGAACCGGAGGCTGCGGCAGAGCACGGGGCTCACCAGGCCTCTCCTGCACGCGCGGTCCTTGGAGTTCAAGCACCCCAACACGGGGGAGGTTGTCTCCCTGGCGGCGCCGCTGCCTTCGGACGTGGAGGCGGTCGTTAGGAGAATATACCCGCAGGTGAGGAAGTGGTTCGATGACCCTCCTTCTGTTTTGTGTTGTTGTTGTTGTTGCTGCTGCTGCTGCTGCTGCTGCTGCTGCTGCTGCTGCTGCTGCTGCTGCGGCTATTGCTTCTGTCGCGTCTAAAACTATGCCGGTGCCGAGGACTGCCACTGCTACTGCTCCTGCTGCTGCTGCTGCTGCTGCTGCTGCTGCGGCTATTGCTTCTGTCGCGTCTAAAACTATGCCGGTGCCGAGGACTGCCACTGCTCCTGCTGCTGCTGCTGCTGCTGCTGCTGCTGCTGCTGCGAACACGTATGACGGTACCGAGGACTGCCCCATCGTTCTGTTCCTCTCCCTTCTGAGGCCGTCGTCATCTTGCACAATGTTTCGTCCCTTCGAGAGAACACCGCCATTTCGCATCCTTTTCCCTAGCCCAGCGAGAGCATGCCGTGTTGCTGACGAACACCTCAAGCTCTGACGCATACGCATTGGATCGTCCAATATGTCCGAAGTCCCGACAGGGGTTTGGGGAATGTTGGAACACCCACCCCCTCGACAAACTCTCTTCTCGAACTCTCGATCCCGTCCCGAATACCTCCCCGGCGATGCTGGGCCGAGGCTGAACACACAATACAAGCAACGTTTGCTCCAAGACCCTTCAAAGCCACGATGGAAGTTCTGTGGCGAGCGGGAACCAACCAAAGCAGGGCGGAAGTATTTGCGTAGTCCGAATATTGAAACTGTACGATCTGGGTCCTGCACACAAAAGTATCCATCACTGCCCCCGCCTGGGGGTCATGGTTGTATGGGGTCTTCTGTAATACAATGGTGGAAGCGATTGTGATGGTGGTGGCGATGGTTTCGTTGAAGCAAGAACGGTACGCTGCTTGTTTTCTCACTCCGTACCGCGCGCCGTCTATGATGCTGTATCGTGATTGTTGTTTTAAGGTGGAGGACGAGCATCCGGAGTGGCTGCAAGACACAACGGCAACAGGAGACGACGAGAGAAATAGCAGTAGCGTGGAGGGGGGCTCAGCAGATGAGGACACCGATTCATCCGCTGCGGCAAGGAGCGATGTGGATGTCCCGGAGGAGTTACGCGAATACAGAATATCGTAACCGATAGATTGAGACGGGCATAGGTATCTTGGTGCAGAAGTGATTAGAAACGGCTGTGACAGAAGTCAAACGTAGCACCTTGGGAGTTGCACCCAGAGAACGGGGCGCTACGGCGAGTGTTGATGTTTTGGGGACTGGTATGAACAGGGACGGTGATTTTCATTTTGGTTGAGACATCTTGCCATAAACTACGATCTGTAGATTTATATGACAACGTGGAGAATTTCCTATTTAGCTGATCGTCGCTACGTTTTCGCGGATCTTCCCAACATTCCATTCCTTTCTCTCGGCCTTCACAGGCAAGCCTTTGAGTATGCCTGTATTGAACATTTGCCGCTCTGCTCTCTGCTGCTCAGAGGTCTTCTCTCAAAATCAATTCTGACATTGAGATGTTTTTCACTGAACCGGCCATGTAATCTAAGCAACAGACGAGTCCTCCTACATCCATTCCAAAACCCACACTCAAGTTGGCATCGACGAAGAACGGGTGTGTGGTTCGGCGCCGCATGGCCTTGACTAATTACACGGTAGCCACCAATATTTCCTCTAATGAAGTACGCGGATTACTTGGGTGTCTTGAAAGCTGATTTACATACGTCTACATCGTAGTCTCTCTTAGACGATTGAAACCCTTCTGTCGTCAAATTGAACAATTCACACGGTACGCCACCATTCTATCGTCGAAGAGAGACTACGATCTAGATCAGCTATCCAAGACATCATTAGTCCGCGTACCTCATCACCACGTTGAGTAAATCTCCCGATTGGTCCTTTGTCAGTAGGTACCAAGAATCGGTCGATCCGATCCAAGAATCGGTCGATCCGATCCAGGTCAGGTAGTGTCCGGATCGGCCCCAAACAAGAACTTGCGACTACTAAGCTACATCTCCCGGTCTGGTTTGCTCAGGAGCCACGTCGCCCGCCCCCTCAACTGACCGCCGTGGCCTTCCCCACCTCCTTGCCCACCACTCAACAACGCACAACCACATCCCAGGCACAATGGGTTCGGCGGTGGTTGTTCTGACAATGTCCCGTCCTCACCATAGGTGTCATCCGCCGCCGCTGCCGCCATCGCCCGGTCATTGCGGTGTGTAACCGCCAACAAGGGGCTTAGCTGGTTGCGGGTCATGTTGCCTGGGGCGCTCCTCATTCTTCTTCTGCTGCCGCTGCCGCTCTGCGCCACCGTTGTCATGCACATCGTCGCCTTCCCCGAGAACGTCATTCATTGTTGTCACGGCAAAAAGGTCGAAGAAGTGACCATCATCTTCCTCGTGACCACTTTCGCCGTCGCCCCCATCTTCCTCACGGCCATGTTCGATGACGCCGTCGTCTCTTCCACGATGGCGTGGCCACCGAGTCTCTTAGACCCCATGCACTTTGCTCGGTGGACGGAGTGGGTATACCGGTTGCACCTGCGTCAGTGGCAACCGAGCTTCTTGATTCCCATGCGCTTTGTTCGGCGGACTGGATGGGCACACCGGTTGCACCAAAGAAGGCGCCGCTATGTTGACAGCGAGAGGGCGCTGAGGAATCAGTGCAAAACCGCCGCAGAAACAGTTAGTCTCGGTCTTGTGTAGTAGATGCCGTCGTCGTCCAGCTCTTGCTCCGCGAGGGCGTGGCGGAGACCAGACTTGTCTACGAAACCCTGCATGTAGTGCAGCGACCCGGGAGAGGAGAGACCTTCCGGCAAGGCGGGCTCATGTTTGAGGCTGAACTCTTACAAGAGAGTCTTCAAGTCATCAGAATGCCATGTCAACGACTCCGCTTCCGCTGCCTGTCGCCTCTACCTTCCAACGCAGCCATTGTAGTCAACAGCACTTTTAAGATCTGCTGATCACGATGGCCGCGATGGAGGGAAGGGACGACAACGATAGCGGAGTCGTTGACCCTAACGATCGACTATGACTTGAAGACCGGCTTGTTGGAGCTCATCCTCGGTCCTCAGCTCACCCTACAAGATGGGTTCACCTGCCCGGGGCCGATGGACTATTGGAGGGTTTCGTACACCTGTCTGGTCTCTCCCACACTCCCACAGGGCCAATAGCTGGAGGATACCTATAGCACAAAGTCCGTAACGTCTCTCGTGCCTCGGCCTTTCACGAATTCCTCAGCACCCTCTCGAAGTCGGGCATTGTAGCGCGCGGCGCATTCTTTTGGTGCAGCCAGGGTGGCCATCCAGTCCCTGACTGAACTGACCACCCGGGATGCAAGAGGTTTGGTCGTCACTGACGCAGCAGGGTGTGGCGGTGGAGACTGCAACGAACGATGAAATGACGTTGATCACGATGGATGTGTTTGAAACCGGGAACACGTATCGCATACGACCGGGTGACACGGTAGGAGGACGATGACACCACCGCCAGAGTCGGCGTTCCCGAGCTGTTCGCCGCGAATCATCTCACAACAGTTCCATGAGCTGCTTCTCGTCCGGATGGGCGGACCGGCGGGCAGACCGCAAGTGGGGCACCTCCTTATCCGCTATCGGGAAGACAAAAACGCCCACTGCCGACGCGGATGGGGCTTCTTCGAAGATTGTTTACATCATGAGTTCCACATAACAGCACTCCTAGGACCTGCTGCACGTACATGCCGACATCTCTCCGTTCATGGTGACTATTTGGTTGGGGCTTATCTCGCCTCCGCAGCGCGCTCTCAAGACCATCGTCTCCTCTCCCCGACAGAACAATAAAAAACAAACACCCAATGAAACGAAGGAAAACATGCCAAGAGCGACTCATGACACGGAAGCCGGAAAAGGAGGCGGAAATCGCCGCCAGGATCGGCGTTCCCGAGCGGGTCACCCCCAACCCATCTCTGAAGCAGCTCGCAGAACTAAAATAAGTCCTGAGGGGCGGACCGTTGGGCAGTGTACTTCAGGTGGGGCGCGTCGTGCTTCACATCAGGAGGTACCCCGCCTGCCGTATGATGCCCGCCGATTCGCCCACCAGCACGTGCAACAGCCCTCGGAGCTGCTTCTGATATGGGTGTGTGGAGAGCCGCTCGGGATAGACGGGTCCTTGCGGCGGTGTCGACCTCGTTTCCCTGCCTCGGTGCCATTTGTCGTTTGTGACATGTTTTCTTGTTTTCGTTGTATGTTTTGTTTTGCTGTCGGAGAGAGGAAGCGGTGGTCTTGAGAGTGCGCGGCGGAAAGGACATGAACCCCAACCAAATACCCACCAGGAAATGAGAGGTATCCTGTAAAATGTTTTCTTCGTGCCTAAAACTGTTTATGTCACCAGAAACAGGCATCCACCCCACGTGAACTTGGTGCCGACGCGTTGGTTCTCAGAGAAGAAACCTTCTCACACGAGCAGGTAGGTGATCTACAACGTTGCTGTGCTCGCAAGCTTCAACGGATGCCCTTGCCGCTCCGGTCGCCTCGCGTAAAATCCGCAAAGCGTGGCAATTCAGAAGGCGGGTTTGTGAACTTCGGCGGCCGCACCAGATCCCACAAAAATGCTGTCTCATGCTGTTGTGGTTGCCTTTGGCAGCCCAATGCTGTAGCATCGTTGCCGTCGCTTCCGATTACCGAGCCTCTCACGCCTTTGTCGGCCTTCGCCAAAATCCCTCCTCTTGGTCTACCTCATCTACGACGTCGCGGGTTTAAGCAGGGCACCTTGTTCCTCCTCCAAACCGCGACGAAGAAGACGATGAAATCCAAGAACAGGGGTGAGGCGAAGGCCGGCAAGGGCGGGAGAGGTTCGACAAAACACAGAAGCGGCGGCAACGATGCTGGAGATAACACCACAGCGTTGAGATTCCTAAGGCAAGAAACATCAGGAGCAGCCTTCGTGTGGGATGTGGGGCGCCGGCTGCAGTCAAGCACAATCGGACCATCATTCCCCGCCGTGCGCGAGGGAGCAAGCGCTTGCTGCGTAAGAAGCCAACCACAGCACTGCCGAAAGCCGGTGGACAAAAGGAGCGCCCACCTTTTACGGTCAATCTTCCAAGGACCAAGGAGCGATGAAACTGAGGCGAACCTCGAACGCAAGCCTAGATGAACGGCTGAACCTACTTATAGAATTGTTGTTGTTGTTGTTGTTGTCTTCACATTAAAAACCGTTCCCATCTCTCTCTACCCAGTACCTTCGTATGTCCGTACTGATCCAACACTCGACGCGGTCGATTCCCGTGGTCACAGGTTAACTTACCCTAAAAAGGTACATAGTGGGGGGGGAGAAAAGAAGCGAGGGGTGTCAGCACCTGCTGCGCTCATCGGCTTATTGCAGACAATAATGAGCGAGCCTACACGTTGAAACGACGTCTCGTAGAGAGACGAGAGTCCCTCTGGCTTAAGATTGCCGTACACTCAACACGTTCGGAGAAAACCCTTCACGATGCTTTTTCAACACAGAGGTCTACTTCAGAATTTGACTTGAACAAACCCACCAAACTTCACCCACCTCTTGGCACCTGGACCTGTTTGCGAATTGCTCGTCAGCCCGGCATTTCTGGCTCTCCTCGTTGGCGATGCTGCTAGCAACGCTTCCCGGAGTATTTCCACCGCACGCGGAGCGACCGCGTTCCCTCGGGTTCTGGTGACGTCCCCGAACGTCAGGGAAGTCCAGTTTCCGGCTGTGCTCGCCATCAACGAACTCCTTCAGGCGTGCCGCAGCAACTGCGCAGAGAGCGTACCAACCCCAGTTTCCGAGCCAGGTGAAGAGGAAGATTCAGCCTCGGCGGCGGCTGCAGACCCGGGAAATGTGGAACGCGAGCTAATAGTCGCGGCTGGGTGCGAATTGCTCTGCAAGGTGGGTGCTCCGTCTAAGTTTCAGTTCGTTCTGTGGGATGGCCACAGAAGCTTGAACAAGTCGCACACAACGCCCCCTCCCCTCCGGCCCCATCGTCTGATCTAGTTCTGGCGAGCCATGAATGGCAGGCATGCATGAAACTGAACCCTTGTTTCTCCACTTCCAACCTCTCCATTGATTGAAGAGTGCCAAGGCTTTCCCGAGAGACGGAGACTTGCGCCTAGGGCGTTTGAGCGCCATGGGAGCGATATGCAGAGGAGAACGGAAATTGGCAGTCAGCCGGCTCATCGCGGCCGGGGTCCGCGAGCAGGTGAGGGAGCAAGCAGCGTGCGGGGGTGGACAACTCCCGTCCATTGATTTCCCGACACAATACAAAAAAAATCCCCGCACCTGCTGGGTTTCCTTTAGGCACGACAAACATTGTTGTGAGTGCTGGTGGGAGATCCTCTCAAC